GCTTTGTAATCAGAAAAGAAGAAGTTGCTGCCTTGATATTTCCATTTTTATCTCTTTTATTTACTTCATTTTAATGTCTTTCAGGGAATATTTTCTCTGAAACAAGGCAGGGCTGTCAGTGGCTTACATCCTTCTGCCGCCCGCTGGCCGGGTGGGGAGGGGGGCTGAGGATGGGGTGAGGGGCTCCTGACCCCCTGCCCGCAGCGTCCCTGCCCTCCACTGGTGCGCCCCATCCTCTCCCTGCCCTTCCTCCTGCCGTGGGGTCCTTCCCAAGCGATTGGCACCCTCCAGATCCAAGGCCTCACCCCTCACCCAGCCCAGCCCGATGAGGGATTCATGACCAGGAGCCTTCACCCACAGCCCCTGGGGGACCCCGGACACTGGTGTGAGGGCGCCATCCAAGAGGAGCCCGTCACGGCCCAGGGACCGGCGGTTCAAGCCTCCTTCCCCTCCGCCGTCCCCACTGATCCAGGGAAGACATTATCTCCCTTTCCCAGGCGAGGAAGCAGAGGTTCCTAGAGGTTATCAGTTGCCGTCACCTGGCTCCATGCTGGCGACTCGTGACAGGGAGAGGGAGTGCAGAGCCCCGGCCAGAGCGTCTGCGCGGGGCCTCCCTGCGTCCATGGTGTGTGCTGGTCGCACCCCTGTTACCACAATTGACCAAGACAGCGTGTGACGCAGCTCACGGAAAGGGCTGGCCGTGGGAGGGCAGAGGGGCCGAGCCCCCTCCGGTCCCTGGTTCAGTCTCATCAGTGCCCCTTTCTGGGCTTTTTGAGTCTCCCAAAAAGACACGCCCACATCCTAAGCGCCGGAACCCATAAATGCGACGTGTGTGGATGAAGGGTCTTTGCAGACGTGACCGAGTGAAGGATCTCAGGGTGAGGTCATCCTGGGTTGGGGTGGGCTCTACATACAGAGACTGAAGTCTTCATAAGACAGATGCAGACACACAGGTGGAGGCCACGTGAGGACAGACAGAGACTGGAGGGAGGCGGCCACCAGCCAAGGACGCCCAGCACCCCCAGGAGCCAGAAGAGGCAGGAGGGACCCTGCTCCAGAGCCTCCAGAGAGAGGTGGACCTGAGCCAGACACGGGCCTTCGGAAATGGGACGGAGTAGACTGCGTCGTCTCAAGCACCGCCCCCACCCGGCCCGTCTGTGCCAGGACGCCCACACTGTCCCCACCTGGGTGAGACCCTCAGGGCATGACGGCAGCGGCCCGACTCTCTCCAGATCCTCAGGAGCTGGCGCCTGCCCCTTTGGGGAGAGCTTTGTTGAACGAGCGGTGCACCAAGGGTGGGAACTGGGCCTGAGCACCGAGGACAGTGGTGTCAGATCCCGAGTGAGCACCGAGGACAGTGGTGTCGGACCCCGAGCACACAGGCGCTGGGCTCAGGAAGCCCAGAGGCAGCAGGACGGCTGTGTCGCCCCCAGACCCTCGGGGTAGGAGGGACGCGCCTCTCAGGGCCCAACTCCTCCTGGAGGCACCGAGGCAGTGGCTCTGGCTTCAGGAGGTGCGAGCAGCTCGGTCCCGAGCCCCCTGGAGGGCTGCGGCCAGGGGTGGGGCGGGCACCCTGACTGAATCAGCGGCCGCCCCACAGTGACCCAGGGACTCAGCAGGACCCACGTCTGCAGTGGGATGTGGGCTCGGGCCCCAGACACTCTGCCATCTCCTTCACAGCGTGAGAAGCAGAGGCCACCCCAGGAGGCACTGGGACAGAAACGGCTATGGTTGTTCCACAGAGCGGAAATCGGAGAATTTTCCAGAATTCATGCTGAAGAACAGAAGGTGGGAGCGGACGAGAAGTGATGTGGCTTCTGTCACCAAGAAGCAAAAGGTCACAGGTGATGCACTGCTGCCCCACCAGGAACACGGGGCTCTGGGCAAGGCCTTGTCCCGCCAGCGCCCAGGAAGCCCTGCGGCCCTGAGTCACCCCGCCAGGCACATCCCCCGCCAGGCGGCCGAGCACCAAGACCTGGCCCTGCTGGGCCCGAGGGAGGACCACCTCGGCCACGCTCCAGGGGCCTGAGGGCTGTGTCCGAGCGGGCAGCGGGGAGCAGGGCAGCACAAGTGGAGACCGAGCTGAAGGCACCCAGCCAGCAGGGCGAGGCCGGCACTGGGGGCAGCCCTCTGGCCCCAGGGGAAAGGCCAGGCCCCTCCAAGCAGAGGCCGTGAAGTGCCCAATGAAGAGCCCTCACGGGCTGCTCAGAAGCACGTGCGCCCCTCATCCTGCAGGACTTGCTGCAGCTCTGTCCAAACCGCAAGAGGCCGCAGTGACAGCTCCCAGGAGGGGTGGCTGGGCCACGCAGCCTCCCTCCCACCTGCCAGCCTCGGCCTCAGGCCGGCTCCTCCCCATTCCTCCCTCCCCCTTGGATGTCCCGCCAAGGACGGAAGCAGAGCTGGAGGGATGCAGACTCCTGCCCTGATCAGTCTAATGGGATTTGGTGTTGTCTGTTCTTCCAGCTAAACCTCAAGCCTCCTGGTCCTCCTTGGAGCCCCCGGCAACCCCGCTCCCCTCCGGCCCAGCCCTCACCTGCCCTCCCCACCCTGTCTGACCCCAGGGGTCCCTGGCTCACACCCTCAGTTCTCTTCCCTCTGCCCCTCACACCGGGAACCAAGCGGCACTCCAGACCTGGAAGCGCCTTCCTTCCAGGGCTGCCGGGGAGAAAATGCCAGCCTCCTGCCCCAGTTGCCCTCTCGGTCACCAGGCCTCGCTGATTCACCTGCAAACCCCTCGGGTTGGTCCCGCCCTCGTCTCCTGGGTCAGAGCCCAGACCGGCCCCGTGGCCACTCACCCGGCTCCAGAGTTTAAGAGGACATGCCGTCGTTTCAAGTGCCCAATTTGTGGTCCTTTGTTACAGCCGTCCCCGGACACACGTCCAGCGGCAAGACAACAGCCCGTCTGCCGCTCGGCCCTCCGAGCACACAGGGCGTGCACTGGGCCAGGCCGGGTGTGATGAGGCAGCCGGGGCTGAGACGGCTGGGTGTCCCGTGGGGAGCCGTGGTCTCCACCAGAGCCTCACGCCGGAGGAAGCTTGCTCATGCAGAGAGGGTCGTTCACCGAGGTGTAAAAGCCAACAGTGTGTGGCTTCTGGAAGGAAACGAGGAAAACCTACCCACAAAGCTTCCTTAGTTAGGACACAGAAAGCATTCGCTGTGGGAAAAACCCAGAACTTCATCAAAATTAAAGCCTTCTGCTCACCAGGACACCATTAGGACAATGAAAAGGGAAGCCACGGAGAAAAGAAATGAGACGTATACGACAAAGAGCTCGTACTGATGTTTACAAAGAACTCTTACAGCTCCATAGTAAAAATACAAACAACCGAACAAAACGTGGCCCTGAGACTTAGACACGTCAGTAAAACAAGGCACATGAATGGCCAATAAGCACAGGAAACGATTCTCGACACCAATGGTCACCAGAGAAGGGCCCAGTGGACCCCACAGGCCATCACTGCACGCCTACTAGAAAAATTAAAATTCTGAAAAAAGCAGAACACAAAAAACTAACACTATGAGACGTTGGTGAGGGTGTGGAGCAACCAGAACGCCCTTCCGCACTGCTGGGAATATAAATGAGAACTACTGCTTGGGAAAACAGAAATTTCCTGTAAGAGCAAATAGAGTTGATTAGAATAGACCAGCAATTCTGCTCGGAGGGATGCAGCTGGAAGAGATTAAAAAGGACAAAATGTCCTCATTTGCTGCGCAAATGTTCTCAGCAGCTCCGTTCGCCCAGAGTAGTGACAATGTAGAGCGCAGGTGACGGACAGACGTGACGTGCTGTATTCACGCTTGAGGGCATTACTCAGCAACCAGGGGAGCCCCAGACACACATACACAGTGCATCCCTGAACCGGGAAGAGTCCACGACGTCAGGCACGAAGCAAGTGCTCTGTTTAGACAAAGTTCCACAAACAGCCAAATGAATCTTGTAACAGAAGGAGGACGTTGGTGACTGAATTGGGGATTGGGGGGAGTTGATTTCAAGGAGGGGCAACATGATGGAAATGCTCTAGATCTTCACTGGAGAAACGGTTTACCCCTTGGTTCACGCTCACTGAACTGCATGCTCAAAATGTGTGCATTGCACTGTATATAAATTTCACCAAAATGAAGTCAATTTCGACGAGGGGCAGTGCAACCTGGAGGCAGCTCACACTGCCTGGTGCATTAGTCAGCTCTGCTGCTGTGACAAACAGCCCCCAAGCTGCGGTCTCACACGTTTATGTCTTGCTCCCATTACAAGCTGGCAGTGACAGGCTGGCGGTGGTGGTCTCAGTGCAGTGCAGAATCAGTCCCACAGGCGCCACTGGTTTCAGATAAAGGGGTGGGAGGGAGCTGGGGGGAGACTGAGGCGACTCCTGAAGCTGCTGCTTGGACGTGGCAAACGTCAGTCCCCTCATTCCACTGGTCACACCTGATGCTGCCCAGGCAGGATGTGTCCCCCTCCTCCTGCCCAGGCAGGTTGTGTCCCCTCCTCAGAGGGCAGGGGTCCTTGGAGCCCCAGGCAGGGCCCAGGTGTAATCCCGTCCGGGGAGAGAATCATCAGAGACCCACCACCCACACCCCCGCTCCTGGGAAGCCACCCAGGGCTCCAGGCTGGGGCTGGGTGGCCAGGTGAGGAGGGGACACAGGCAGTGGGTAGGGGAGAGTCCCCCAAGCAAAGCCGAGGGGATGAGGGGGCCCATGGGTTGGAAAGAGTAATAGTCACAGCACCTCCCGGGCTCCTCCCACCCCAGCACCTACTGTGCCAGGCGCTCAGCGTGTTCTAACTCCTGAGATCCTTGCCCAGCGCCGGGGGTGGGCACAGTCTGGAGGAGCAGGAAGCACAGACCAGACAGGTCACAGGACCTGCCCGAGGTGTGCAGTGAGCAGAAGGGCCGGTGTGAGGCCCAGCGGCCTGACAGCACAGGTCACGCTCCACGGCAGGGGCTTGGGGCGTGGACGAAAGAGGTGTGGCTGGGGCCGCTCTGGGGGCCCGCCTGCCACGTTGCCAGCCTCCTCCACTGCCAGGGATGCGCCGGGCCACACGGGAGCCACGCTGGTTTGCCCGGCCCGCTGCCAGCCAGCTGTGTGCCAGGATGCTGACGGCCGGGGCCACCGCCTCCCATCTGTCTCTGCTCCCAGGTGGCGGCTATTTTTAGAGCCAAGGCTTCGCAGCCTGGATGCAAGCAAGGCTTCGGAGTGGTGGGCTGGGCTCGGGGGCGGGGGGCACCGCGGGGGGCCGGGCCAGGTCCACCTGGCTGAGAAGCCAGCAAGCTGACGGGGACGGGCTTCCGGGCTGGGGCCGGCTCTTGGAGGAGGAGGGTCACCAGGTCTGAGCCCGGCCGCCCGCGGGATTGCTGCCCCCTCTTCCCGCCGAGCACCCCTCTCTGTGCTTCCTCCCACCCTTGCTCCTTCCTTTCCCTCTGGAGACCCTCTGGTCACCTGGTCTCCGGGACGCTGCACCCCCTGCACCCCCACTCCGCTCCTGCTGTAACTTCCCCCGTGAGTTTGTCGCCAGCTGGCACAGCGTCGGTCTCACTTCAGGGCTGTCCCTGGGGCGTGGCACAGCACTGACACACAGTAGGTGCTCAGTGAACTTTTGTCGGGTGAGTGACTCACCGTCACACAGACCAGGAGGGTAACCTTCTTTCAACATTTCCCACAAGGCAGGTCTGCTGTGATGAATTCCCTGTTTTTGCTCATCTGAAGAAGTCTTCGTTTTCTATTCACCTTGGAAGAGAATTTTGCTGACTTCTAGATGGGTGTTTTTTTTTCATTCATCTCTTGAAATATTCCACTCCACTCTCCTCTTGCTTGCATGGTGTCTGACAAGAAATCCGCTGTGACATTCACCCTTGTTCTGTACGTAACGTTTCCCACTGACTGCGAGATTTTCTCTGTCTTTGGTTTTCTGCAGTTTCAAGGTAACGTGCCCAGATGTGGGGTTCTGCTGTGTTGTTGTCTTTATCCTGTTGGGTGTTCTCTGAGCTTCCAGGATCTCTAGCTTGGTGTCTGTCATTAATTTTTGAAAGTTCTTTGGCATGATTATTTCAAATATTTCTTCTGCTTTTCCTCCTGGTGTTGTTTTTTTTTAATTTTTAAAAGTTATTTATTAATTTATTTAGGCTATGCTGGGTCTTAGTTGCAGCACGCAGGCTTCTTAGGTGCGGCATGCACGCGGGATCCGGTTCCCCGACCAGGGATTGAACCCAGATCCCTGCATTGGGAGCGCAGCCTTACCCACTGGACCACCACGGAAGTCCCCCTCCTGGTGTTTCAATTATGTGTATTCTGCACCGTTTGATATTGTCCCACGGTTCTCTTTTTCCTCTTTTTGTTTTAAGTTAGGAATTTTCTGTTGATCTACCTTCAAGTTCGCTGATTCTCCTCAACCCTACTGGGCCAACTACCAAGCCCGTGGAAGGCGTTTTCGTTTTTGTCACACGTTGATTTCTCACATTTCCTTTTTCTTCTTTCTTAGAGTTTGCGTCTCTCTGCTTACATCACCCACCTGTCCTTCACACTGTCTGTCTTTCCCATTAGATCCCTTAACGTATTAATCATAGTTATTTTAAACTCCCCATGCCATAGACCTGGCCTCTGCCTCACGTCTGAGTCTGTTTTGACGCCTGCCTGGTCTCTTCAGAATGTGCCCGTCAAGGGCAGAGCACACGTGAGACCCCGGGGCCGCCGTGCACCCCGCGCTGCGCCTCCGCCCGGCTTTAATGGAGGTGACGTGGCAGCCTCAGCCAGGAAGAGCCTAGCGACCGGGGCTCAGTCCCTCAGGAATGGGGGTGTGGGCAAGCTGCCCAGATGGCAGAGATGCTCGTGACGGTGAAGGGTGCAGAGAGCGTGGTGTCCAACTCGGCTGAGATGGACTCAGTCTTCACTTCTTCTCTTAAAACTCTCCCCCCAAAACATGACCAACCACAGCTCAGCTGGGGCAAGTTTCCTGTAAGAGCAAGCAGACTCAGCAGCTCACAGGATGGAGGCTCTGTGCTCCCCAAACCCCGTCCTCAGGGCTGACGCGCTCGCCCTATCGGGGGAGGAGTAGTCCTGTCAACACTCTCGCTGCATGGAGTGTGGGGAGGGCAGGTGACAGAGCTGGGTGTCAGGCCCAGCCCTGCAAGCAAGCTACGTGGGCCTCAGGCAGGTGCCTGCACTGTCCAGGCCTCCGTCTCCTGTAAAGCGCGCACAACGGTGACGGTGCCGCCCACAGGCCCTGCAGGTGCACCAACACCTGGGGGGCTTTTGAGGGGAGATTTCTGTTACACCCGTGAGAGAAGGGGCTGAGGAATGGCGGCCTGCCCAAGTGAGGAAGAATGACACAGCAAGGGTACTGTTAGCAAAGCTGGGTGAGGAGAGACAGAGACAGAGGGAGAGAGGGGCGAGGGGCACTGGTTCATGCAGAGATCAGCCCCGTTACACGTGGGCAGGGGGCTGAACACCCCCGCTAGGCCTTCAGAGGGACTCAGAGGTGGGGAGGCCAGCCCTCCCTCTGGACCTCCCAATCAGAATGGCATACACTAAGGCTGGAGGTCCACCCTGCAGCAGCTCGTCCACTGCTCTGCCGACCGTGGGAACCTCTCGGGCAGCCTCAGCAGGTCGGGGGGCGGGGGGGAACCTGGCTGACACCCTCTCAAATCCTGGCCCACACCAGCTCTGTGTCAGACCCCAGAAGGAAGTCGGTCCTTGAATCGAGGGCAAGCAGCCTCAGTGAGGAAATTCATCCCCACGCAGATCCCACAGGAAGCTGCACGGCTGGCCCTTCCCAGGCTCACACCGGAGATACGACTGCGTTGGCCTGTGGCTGGGACCCGCCAGGAATGGGCACCGGGCCTGGGGGGCTGCCATCCAGGATTGTGTGCGCCTTGCAGCCCAGATCAGTAGCCTATTAGGGGCACCAGTGCGGTGTATTCAATCAGCACTGCTCTGACTCGGTCTCAAAATCCGTATTATTGGCCCAATGGAGTGTGACCGGCTCCTCCAGGGTCTGTCCAAGCCACTTGAGTGAGACTAATACGAAAGCTTCAAGCAGGCGGCCATGACAGCAGCGCCAGGGGCAGGGGCCTCAGGGCGCCCGCACTGCAGCCCCACCACCCAAGAATGCAAGCCCCTCGCCCACACCCAAATCGTGCCGCGTTGCCACATGCACTTACTCTCTGGGAAGCCAGGGCTGGCGCTGGGGTGAAATTCAGGGTATTTAACCGCTGTGGGTTGAACTGAGTCCTCCTCAAATCCATGTTGACGTCTCGACCCCAGCAGCTGTGAACGTGATCTTATTTGGAAACAGGGTCACTGCAGATGTAATTAGTTAAGATGAGATCATCAGGGTGGGTTCTCACCCAGTATGACTGGTGTTCTTATAAAAAGGGGAAATTTGGACACAGAGACAGACATACACACGGGGAGACATCACGTGAAGACAGAGGCAGAGATGGGGGTGAGGCTTCCACGAGCCATAGAACATCAGAGGCACCAGCAAACGCATGTAACACACAGGAGCAAGTAAACATTGGGCAGGGTAGCAAATGTATTTCCCACTATAGCTCATACTCAGAAAGGCTTGAAAGCCACGGATCTAGACAACTCTCAGAAAGATACCAGGATACTTGTTCTTCTGATTCCCATCTGACAGGGAAAACTAGGCTTCCAAGGAGTGGGTGAGACGGAGCTCCTGGGCCCCCTGGGTGGGGAGCCCTTGCACTGAGGCCCCCCAAGGGGTCTGCAGGACTGGCTGTAAGGGCAGGACCCCCGGGTTGCAGATCTGGTGCCTGGTCCCCCCGCTCAGGAAAGCGGGGCTGGCCTGTGTCCCACATCTCAGCCGTCTGGGGACCAGAGGGCGTGGATGTCTGGAGCTTAGAGGCGGCGCTGGGTTCAAATTCCAGCTCTATTGTCTCCTGCCTGGGAGACCGTGGCCCTCAGGGACAGAGGAAAGTGCCTTGAAAGGCGACGGTCCTCCTGCCCGCCCACAGCCCCCATGGAAAGCCAGGGCGCCGGCCAAGGCCATGCTCTCCTCCACCTGGACACAGGTCTCCCACCTATCCAGTGGAGGGCGGACGCCTGGGACTTGGCCTCAACGGCCCGTATCCCTCTGGGCAGGCCCTGGTTCCGACCAGCCATCCAGACCCGAGTCTGGGGCTGCCGCTCACCTGGCTGTCCCTGGCACTGAGCAGGTGGGGACCACAGGAGCGCCTGATGGGTGGGAAGAGGCAGGGCCACCACCTCTCAGGCCTCAGCTTTCTCCTCCGGCCATACTGTTATTTCTTCCTTTGGTTACGTCCAGACTCCAGCCCCTTCTCAGCCCCCAACACCTCTGCCTCCTTGTCCAGCCCCATCCTGGAACTCCTGAATGATAGCCTCTGTGCTGGTCTCCCCACGTCCGCCACTGTCCTGGGGAGGAAACAGCTGGCGTTTTCCTTTCTCTTCCCCTCTTGAAATAGGACCAGTAAAGATGTTCATAACATGAGGTAGACGGGTCTTGATGTGAGTCTCAAAGCAAGAAAGAAGCAGTTGTATTTGTCTAGTTCCAACCCTGTCTTAGCAAAGAGCTGCAGGAGGTGGGGGAGGGGCAGGTGGCCCCTGGGGAGAGCTCTGGGCAGGGGGCAGCGCAGGTGCAAACGCCCCCAGGTGGCCTGCCTGTTGCTCGGCCGCTGTCCACCTCCTTCCAGAGCAGCCCTTGGCCCTGTCCCCGCTTTAACCCCATGGTGGGCTGACAGGGGGCTCAGGGCAAAGGGACCCAACTGGACCCGGGGGTCCCTGCTCCCCGCCGGTGGGTGAGGCTCTTTGTGGGTCCTGCCCTGGGACGCTCCTCCTGGTCGGCGGGGGGAGCCAGCCCCTTCCGGGGTGGGGGCGTGTTTTGGCCACAGGCTCCTGGGCCCAGGAGGGGCGGCGGAAGGGGGAAAACAGGCAGCAGGTGCCGCTTCTAACAGCCTTGACGGGCTGCCAGTTGCCTCTGAGATCCAGAGCACATCTGCGCTCATCAGTTGGCCAACAGATGGGCCCCGGTTTAATATTTTTGGATTCGGTTACACTTGGGGGCCGATAGGAACCGTACAGAGTGCAGGTGTGTGAGCAGAACAGCATCCTGCGGCGGGGCGGGGCGGGGGCACGGGGACGCGCTCGGGGCCAGTGGCCGGGAGCCTGGCTGCAGGCGCTCCAGGTGCCCCTGGGGAAGCAGCCTCACTCTGCACCTCGGGTTTGGCTGCGGGCTTTGTTATAAGCTTCTCGCAAAGCACAGGCCGCGGTAATTCCCCCATCCATCCCGGGAGTGATAGCACCAGTCAGCAGGGCTGGGCCGGGGAGATAAATTTGGAGCGAGGCAGAGCGGGGCTGGGCAGGGCCAGATGGCTGGTGTGGCCGCTCATGTTCCCGCCAGCAACTGCTCTTGTTACTTAATCATGTCACGGGCAGGAAAGCACCCACCCCCATTCCTAGTATCTCTGGGGCCACCTTTGCAGCTGGCCCCGGGGGAAGTTCCCAGGAACTGAGATAAGGCTGCCGGATGCGGCCTTGGACTTGGAGCTCCAACCAGGACCCCGCAGACAGTGACCCCACGGCGACTGTTTGGGACGGGGAGGTGGTGCCGACCAGGTGCCTGGGGGACCCTGGCAGGAAGACGTTCTGTAGCCGAGGTCCCGGGCAGGGCAGCAGTCACAGGCCCGCCCTGCCCGGGCTCTTCCTGAAGAGAACATCTTGCTTCCTCTCACGCCTGTTATCTCCAGCTGACGATGGGGAAACTGAGGCCCAGGGCAGCCAGGGAGCCTGCTCAAACCACAGCCCAGCAGGCCGGGGCTGCAGACACTGTGGGCGAAGCCGTTTGCTTCACCAGCCTACGGTGTTGCGTCCCTCATGGGCCCGATGGTCTTACAAGACCCGCCTCACTCTGCAAATTCTCCTGTTCATAAGGCGTCACCTGTCTCCCGGGGCCCCCACAACCGCAGCTGTGTGGGAGGTCCTCACGGGGTGGGCCGGGGGAGGCCTCGGGAAGGAGTCCCTGCCCACGGGCTGCAGTCCAGCTGGAAAGGAAGACTCACACGTGGTAAACACACACATACATGTAACCAGACTGAGTGCACGCTGGCCTCCCGGGCCTGGTACAGGGGAGGCTGCAGTTCACGTACTCCTTCACTCATTCATTCGGCGAGTAGCAATACTTATTGATCACCTTCTGTCGGCCAGGCACGGCTCCAGGGGCAGGGGACACTGGTGAGGAGACAGACGCCTGCCCTCCATAAACACAAATATCAGTATGTGGTGCGTGAATTAACAGCTAAAGGAACCAGGGGACTCTTCATTTGAAAAGCAAAAGTTGAGATTTTTCAGGGCAAACAATAAAAGCTAACCTCTTTGGGGCTCTTCGTAGGTGGCAGGCAACAGGAGGAAGGCATCGCTGAGGGTCCCTTTTGTGCTGAGAAGGGGCAAGGGCTCCCGAGGGTGCCCAGCAGCAGGCGGCGTCCAGCCGGGCAGAGGGAAACGCCCGTCCGGCAGGGGGTGCACCCAGGACGAGAAGAGCACCTCTACTCTGTAGATGTGAGTGCACGCCTCGGCCCCTGGAAACAAGAAGCGACTCATACCTCGTCTGTGTCCCAGCAGAGCAGCCCTCAGCCCCTCACCAGGACAGGCCCCTCAGCCCACTGTCACCACTCTAGGCTGTGTGGCCCACGCCCAGGTCCACTGTGAAGGGCCCAGGGCACTGTCACTGAGGCAGGAGCCTGGGGTCACCCCCTCGACACACCCTTGGCCTCCTACGGGTCTGGGTGCTGCACACCAGCAGGGCCAGCCCTTCTCCCTTCTCTCCTAAACCCACCCTCTCCCAGCCTCGGGGAAGCTCCTTCTCTCCTCCCCAGTCCTGCCACCCCTGCCTCCTCTGAGCCCTGGCCACTCCCCACCCCCAAGTGCACATGGCCAGCTCAACCCCTCCCAAAGGCAGGGACCTCACAGGATGTTCCCAGCCTCCCTTGCAGCTAGGCACAGCCACAGTTTAGCCAACAAGCTGGAAGGGGAGAACTGCCTGAAAATTTCTGGGAAAGATTTTCCTCCCTGGCTCCTTTTCTTCCTTTTTTTGAATGCAGCGGTCACAAGCTGTGATCGTTGCAGCTAGAGCAACCACCTTGGAACCATGAGGCAACAAGCCAGCACTCAGGGGACGGCAGAGCACGAGGATGGGAAGAGCCGGGGTCCCTGATGACATCATCGGCTCACGGCACCTAATCCAGCACCACCTTCTCCAGTTCCAGAAAATATATGTGACTGTCTGTTAAACCACTGTTGGCTGGACATCCTGTTACTTGCAGCTGAAAGCATCCCAGGAAGTGCAAGGCTTAGTACCCGTGAACCCCCAGGCTGGACCTGGTCCACCGCCAGCCCTGCTTAGAGGCCAGTGGAGGAGAGAGAGAACCTGAAGATGAGGCCAAGATGGCTCTGCCACTCACTGCCTGGTGACCTTGGGCCAGTACTGAAACGACCCCCACTGGGCTTCTGCGTCCCCGTTTGAAACGGGAGGGGGCCCAGCAGCCTCCCTCCCGACCCTGAGCCCCCTCCAGTGCACCTGTCTGGAACCACTGCCCCGAGCCATCTCCGAGGGCTTTGCCGGCTCACATCACCCATGACCCCACAGCTCTAGTAAGGGAGGGCTGAGCTGGCTGTCGGGGAGGCGCGTGGTGGGCATTCTAGGCGAGAGGACGTCATAAAGACCGCGCAGAGCCACAGCCTGGAGAGGCACACAGAGGTGGCTTGATCGGGGCCTGGATGGGAGCTGAGGAACCAGTGAAAGGTGGTGAGTGGAGGCCCCCAGCCCCAGCCCCGGTCCAGGCTGAGTCCTGACACTGCTCCCGGGCTCCCAGGCTGCCCTCGAGCTCTGCTGGGAGGAGGCTGGTCTGGTAGGGGGAGGAGCGGGAGTCCCGGGGTCCTCCCTGCATCCGGGGAGGCGGCCGAGCCCTCCTGCACCCCTGACAGGCCATGGGGTTTACCCGCGGGGCCACACCTGGCCCCTCCCCTGGCCTGGGTCAGAGCCACGAGGGAGGAAAGGTAACCAGACTGCTCCCGGGGCGCCGGGCGTCCCAATGCCCCCATCTCACCCTCACGCCCCACTGGGCGGATGGGGAAAGTGAGGCTGGGGAGGCGCAGCCGCCCCCAGGGGCCAGGTGGAGCCTCCCCTTCCCCCCACGCCCGCGGAGCGAGGAAGGGGGGCAGCTGAAGAGGCGCCAGATGGCCCAGATTCCCGGCTTCCGCAGAGACGCCCGGGAACAAGACCTCCTCTCTCAACTCCTCTCGCAGCTGAAAATATTTACATCCAAATACGTCCCAATGCGCCATATTTTTGCCTCAAGCCAGCCTGGGAGTCCGTCCCCGCCACCTGGGAGGCGGCGACGCCTGGGTAGGGAGGGTCTTGCCTTCCAGGGGAGCTGACGAGTCTTACCAGAGGCCAGGATGAAGGAGCGCGGGCCTGGTAGGGAGCCCAGAAGGGACCCCGGGGTTCTGAAAGGCCGGCCTCGGGGCCCTTACGCTAGCAGGGGGATCTGCTCAAGAGCGCTTCCCACAGGAGACGCGAGAAAAGCACCTCCTCCCAGCGAGCCAGGGCAGCACTCCGCTTCCCTCCCGCGAGACTGCCCTCCAGCGAGACTTCCCACCCGCGAGACTTCCCACCTGCTAGGTTGCCCTCTCGCGAGACTGCCTTCCCGCACACCCAAGTAGCGCAAAACGTGGGTTGTTTTGCTGCTCTTCGGCTCGCGGTGTCCTCCGACGGGTAAGGCGGCACCTGGCCTCACTCGCCCCGGCTCCCCAGCACAGAGAGTAGCGTCCAGCTCCGGTAGGTGCTCAGTAAGTGCATGTGCAAAGCACAGACCGCTGAGTGCGTGGGAAGCTCACGCAGACCACTGGCCTCTGGCTTCCCGTCTGTGAGATGGGAATAACCAGTGACGCGGCCACGCCTTGCCTGGGCTGTGCAACAGGCTACGGTGGACGGCAGACTGAAAGCAGCAAAATTGTGTCCTCTCCGAGTTCCGGAGGCAGGGAGGCCAGAATCAAGGCGTCCACAGGCTGCGCTCCACCTAAAGGCTCGAAGAACAGATTATGGGCTGCATTGTGTCCCCACAAAATTCGTAGGTTGAAGCCCTGACCCCCCAGTACCCCAGAATGTGACTGTATTTGAAGATGAGGTTGCTGGGGTGGCCAGTGTCCTTATAAGAAGAGGACACTAATCCACAGACGCTGGGACTGCAGACACGCAAACCTGGACGTGGACGTTTACAGCAGCTTTATTCCCAATCGACAAAACTTGGAAGCAACCAAGATGTCCTTCGAGGTGAATGGATAAATAGACTGTGCTTCATAATAAATAGACAGTGGAATATTACTCAGCACTAAAAAGAAATGATCTGTCAAGCCATGAAAAGGCATGGGGGAACCTTAAATGCAAGTTACTAAGTGAAGAAGCCAATCTGAAAAGGCTACAGACTGTGATTCCAACTCTGAAACATGCTGGGAAAGGCAAAACTATGAGATGGTGAAAGGATCAGTGGTGGCGGGGAGTTGGGGGGAGGGAGGATGAACAGGCAGAGCACAAAGGACTTTCAGGGCAGTGAAACTACCCTGCATGAGACTACGATGGTGGATACAGGTCATTATACACTTGCCCACACCCACGGAATGTACACCACCGAGAGTGACCCTGGTGTAGACTGCGGACTCTGAGTGATGGTGGTGCAGGTCCATCAGTTGTAATCAAGGTACCACCTGGCAGGGGTGAGATAATGGGGGAGCCTGTGAGTGTGAGGGGGCAGGGGCTCGATTTTTCTGTAAACCTAAAACTGCTCTAAAAAACAGAGTCTATTTAAAAGAAAAAAACCTGGCGCACAGAGCTGACCTCCTAGTGGAGGGACAGGCAATAAACAACATGAATGAGTAAAGCTTCTCTCCCTTGAGCTAGTGCCCAAGGGGCAGGAGGGGGAGGAGAAAAGGGGGCAAAAAGTGAAAAACGACATCGTTCCCAGTGGAGAGGTTTTCCTTTTTTATTCTTTCTGGATCAAACACAGCCTCAGGTCCACTGGGCTCATGCCTCATGGCCTCACAGGAAATGCGTTTAGAGCTGATTGCTGAGATGCGGGGTAGACACTGGCTCCTCTGCAGGCGGGCAGCTCGAGGGACGGGGTGGGGGGTGCCCAGGACGCGGGAAACCTCAGCCCAGAGTCAGAGAGAAACCAGGACCTGCCGGGGCCTACCCCACCCTCCACCTGGGGCTCCTCAAGGGGAAAGTGGCCTCGGGGAGGGGCCTTCCCCTTTGCAGCTTGGCTGCTCAAGGGAGCAGGGTGGGCAGCTCCCCACAGCCCAGAGGGCGCGCTCTGCCGGCAGGCAGGCAGGTCCCCAGGAGTGTTGGGGTCACGCCGAGGTGACACTCTTCCCTTCTGAGCCTGGGTTTCCCATCCCTCGGAAGGGACGGCCTTGCCCGATGCCGCTGGAGGGGGTGGCTGGTAAGCAAAGAGACTAGGGGTGGGGCGGTGAGGGGCTGGGGTCCTTGGTGCAGTGGGACCCTCGCCCATCCCGCCCGGCTCCCCCAGCCCCGCTCTGGGTCTGACTGGACCCAGCGCGGCCCCACACCCCGGCCCCGCGCACCGGCTGGTGACGTGGGCAGCCTGCTGAGCCTCTCGGAGCCTCTTGGTGACGGTGACAGGTATTAAGTTCAGGTGCTGACTGAGGAGACGTCTCAGCGCTGAGTCAAGGGGACTTGGCTGTCATCACTGTCCCTGCCAGCACTCTGTTTCCATCCTCACGCTCTGTCCTCACTGGGCTCAGCCCAAAGCCCCAGGCCTTCTCGTCAAGCAAATGCAGTTCAGGACAAGAGGAGTGGGCATGGCCCCCCGCCACTCCACACCCACCTCCAGGTTCGGGACGTGCGTGCCGCCCAGCCACAGGCCACAGAGCCCCGGTCCCCCGAGGGCACTACACCAGGCCCCTGGCTCCCAGAAGCTGGGCCTGGGGCACGCCCTTAGTGGGCCGGGTCTCTGAAGGCAGACCACTTAGGGTCTTGGGCCCCGTGACCCACCTCCCCTGAACCAGCCACACAGCTGGGGTCAGGGGTTGAGGAAAGCTGGTCTGTCTTCCTTGGAGGGTGTGTGGCGCACAGGTGGGGAGTAGCGTCCTGAGGGCTTCCCCTTCTCCTGCCAGTGAGTGTGCCGACTGCCCCAGAGCCCAGCCTCATGTGCAGGATTTCCAGGCATCAACCCAGGATGCAAGTGGTCCTTCTCCATGGCTCTGTTTGCTCAGTGACACCCTGACTAGGGACTGGCGGGCAGGGTGTCCAGCCCTGGGCTGGCCCCTCCTGTCTGCCCCAAGTGAGCCCATGGGGGCAGGTTTTCTCCTGCACCATCCCTGTTGACCACCACCATCTGGCCACACTTCACTCTGGACCTGGAAGCAGAGGTTGGCCTCCAGCCAGGCACTGGGTCCGGGGGTGCTGGTCTGTCTTGGCTCACGTGTAGCCCACATCTCCCCATCTGGCCTCCTCTGGGGCTGCCTTGTGACTCATATCCCTCTTTTGGGTGCTTTGTGACTGGGACTGTCGCCCCTGTGAGTCCCAGTACCTCCTCTCTAAAGCGTGGCTGGCATGAGATTTGCATAGAATCATGTTTCCACTAATCCATCCATCAGTCACCCATCCATCTACCCACCCATCCCTCCCTCCATCCCTCCATCCATCCACCCATCCACCCACCCACCCATCCATCCACCCATCCACCCACCCATCCATCCACCCACCCATCCATCCATCCATCCACCCACCCTCCCATCCATCCATCCATCCACCCATCCCTCCCTCCACTCTCCCATCCACCCACCCACCCACCCTCCCATCCACCCATCCACCCACCCACCCTCCCATCCATCCATCCATCCACCCACCCTCCCATCCATCCATCCACCCATCCACCCACCCTCCCATCCATCCATCCATCCACCCACCCTCCCATCCACCCACCCTCCCATCCACCACCCAACCACCCACCTACCCACCCTCCCATCCACCCATCCACCCACCCACCCTCCCATCCATCCACCCATCCACCCACCCTCCCATCCACCCACAAACCACCCACCCACCCACCCTCCCATCCACTCTCCCATCCATCCACCCACCCACCCTCGCATCCATCCATCCATCCATCCACTCACCCTCCAATCCATCCATCCACCCAGCAGTCATGGGGGCTCCTACAGGATAGGAGAGGAGGCGGAAATAAGACACCCAGCCCGATGGGCTTCCCTGCCCACCTCCACCCAGTGTCATCTCACCACTGAGCCCCGCTGGCCTCCCTCCAGCTCTCTGGCCATCCTACAGAATCCTGAAAGCCTGAAAATGTGACCGCCTCAGGGCCCCTCTATCTGGAATGCTCTTCCCTTCACTTCCCCAGGGGCAGCTCTTAATTGATCCCTCAGACACAGCTTCCAAATCACCTCCCCTGATTGCCCCACGGGCCACATCAATTGGGACTTTTTGGTTGAATGTCTGCCTCCCGTAGGGGAGAAGGTCCCTCACCCCCTGCCCCCCGTCCAGCGGTGGGTGCTGGCCGCGGTGGCCTCTGGAGGGAGCAGCCCCACCCGCTCGTGCAGCCACTCCTGCTGCAGTCACTTCCTCCTCGGGTCCTTATCTCCCGGGCCGCCCAGCTCCGAAAGCCACCGCCAACGTCTGCTTCCCCACAAGCCCCAACTGCCCGGCCTGGGGGGAGCGGGGAGCAAGCAAGCACCCTCGAGGTGGCCACCAAGGCCAGGCGGCCCCCGCTCCCCACTCGTGGGCAACTTGCTTTTCTTTCAACCCAACCTCTGTCAGCCCCTCTGATCAGAAAACCAGGCAGGATGAGACGCCTCCTCACGAAAGTGGAAGTGGCCCATCTGGGGTGCTCCCTGCAGGTGCAAGCGCCCCGAACGACTGCCCAGAGCCGGGGTGGGGGCTGCCTTCACAGGGGAGGGGCCTGTGCCTTCCCAAGACCCTCTCGCTTCCCAGTTCGCAGAGGCCCCACCGCTTGCAGCCTGGAAAACGGGGCGAGGCGAGAACCCCAGCACCAGTGCGGGTGACAGCTGCACCGCCGACCCCGAGGCAGGCCGTGCCCGGCGTCCCCCGCGGCGTCTCCTCCCGGAACAGTCTGGGAGCTGGAACCACTGTGATCAGGGTGTCACACACGCCGAGGAAACTGGCCAGGGTGACCCTGAATCCCACCCTGACTGAGAGCAGGGGAAGCCAGGAGAGGCCGTGAGGACAGTGGCGAAGCCAGGGACTGGCCCCTGGCTCCCGGCACCCTCCCCTCCACCTGAACCCTGGGGCCCCGGGGCAGTGCACCCTGAGGGGACATGCACATCGCAGCCCCTTCCAGGAACAGACAGGGTCTGTCCCTGCCTGGACTGTAGAGGGACGCCCACCTGCTGTGACGGTGGCCTCTGGGGAAAGAGCGGGAGGCACTGGTAGGGGTTCTTACTTGCTGCCCTGCGCCTCTGCACTGCTTGGACTGCTCCCCACGGGCAGGAATTACCTACAATCCAATTCAGTTCTGTCGGAATAGCACAGAAACCTGTGCATCAGCCCCGGGTCTGCGGGCTGCATGCCTCTGGCCTGTCAGAGGCCCTGAGACTGCGGCCGAGGTACAATCCCCAGGGACTGACTGCCAGGCCAGTGGAGGGCGAGGGCCACACTTCGAGGGGTCTTCCCACGGCGGTCACCACCTTCACCAAGCGGCCGTTTGAGTGACTGTGAAGGGCCCCGCCTCCCCTGTGCGGGGTGCCGAGTGGGGAGCGGGGTCTGGGACACCCGCTTCCGGGCTGAGTGGTCACAGAGGGCCCTGACCTTGTTTCTGGCGTCCGTCAGAGTGGGGAGCAGCCCGAACCCCCCCCCAGCAAATTCCACCCGTGAGCCCGAATCGGCACTGTTCCCCAAGGCGTCCATCGGGAAGTGGGGGAAGGGTCCCTGAGGAGCCCCCAGCCAGGAGGCCAAGCCCAGAGAGGGGGTTAGCCTGCCCAGCCTGGCGGGCAGTACTTCCAGGGTGGGTGGGGGCAGGACCCTCAGGCCGCGAGGGGAAAGCCCTGAGTGGAGGGGAGTTGGCCAGAGCGGCGGGACCGGATCAGACCAGGGCTAACCCAGAGGTCAGGTTCAAGGTTACAGGCGATGCCCTTGAACAGTTGGCCCTGGGCAGGCGGCCCTGGGGGAAGTCTGGCTGAGGGCAAGAGAGGGCAGAGACCCCCAGACCAGCCCAGGCTGAAGACAGGGCCAGGCCAGAGGGGAGACAGGTGGGCTGGGCAGCGTGGGAGTTGGAGGCTTGGCCAGGATGGACATTGCCCCCATGCTGCTGAGCTGCGCCCCTGCCCAGGTCAAGGAAACACACCCAGCGGGCCAGGGCCAGGGCCAGGGCCAGGGTGGGTGGGGTGTCACCGGCCGGGTGGTAGGAGGAAGTTGTTGGAAAGTCAGGACGGAATGGCCGTGAGGGAAAGCCGGGCAGGGCTGGGCCCAGATGGTTCCTGTTGAGGAAGCAGTGGGCACAGCTGCACGACTCTTCCTGGCCTGGCCACACTATCACAGCGACACAGCTGGCTGCCTCGCTGCAGGCTGCAGGCGACCTCCCCCACCGGCGCGTCCCCAGGCCCGCCCCGCATCACATGAGCCCCTGAGGCCGCCCGCCCCTTCCCCAGGCCGGCGGGCAGCGACTGCTAGAAGGCCCAGAGCGGTCTGGGGGACAGAGACCTCTGGCTCAGAGAAGCCCAGGCTGGCTGAGGCCCCTGTCTTTCCCTCGAGGGCTCACGAGGTCGGGAAGGACGCCCAGGGCCGTGCTCAGGCCCGGCTCCCGCCAGCAGCAGGATTCAGTCTCCTGGACCCACCTCCAGCTCCATGTCCCGTGTGTCCCCCGTGCTGGAGAGTGGGCTCATGGCACCCACCAGCTGCTCAGCGCCTAGGGGTCCCAGGAAGGGCGGCCCAGGTAAGGGGATGGGGCAGGGGGAGGGGCGGCCCGAGCAGGTGGCGAGGCTGTGACACCTCCACGCTGCCGCCTGCCTGGCCCTGTTGACTCACCCCCACCGTGAGCGCGGCCTCCCACCGGGCACAGGCCCGCACAGCTGGGGCAGGTGGCCGGGGAGGACCCGGCAGGTGCCAGGCCGGTGGGCAGGCCCCACCCAGAGGCAGATGCTAGAGGCGGGGGCGGCTCAGTCCTCTAAGAGGGGTGGGCTCTGTCAGCCTCAGGGAGCAGGGCCCCGGAGTCAGCAAGGAAGAAGGTGTGCAAACTGGTGGGGACCCCTACGACTTGGAGGTCGGATGAGGAAACTAAGGCCAGATAGAGAGGGCCTCGCCGAAGGCCCCGGGACAGAGTGATGGTCCAGGACCTGGCCCTGGGCCCCAGTGAGGAGCGGCCCTGCCAGGGCGCCCACCCAGTGGAGCCAGTGCCAGGGAGAAGTGGTCACATGGGGAGGACCTCCTATGGGCTGCTGACTGGGGGGTGCAGGAGGCCGTGGCCCTCCCTGACACCCGACCCCAGCTGCAAGGTCGCCTGCCCGGCTCTCCCAGGACTCGGGAGCCAGCAGGGCTGTAGGCAGGTGGCCCCGCTCCCCAGCCACAGCCACGTGCCCACGGTCCCAGGAGCACAGAGTCCCAAGTCTCACTGCGGAGTGCAAGCACGCCCTGCCACTCACCCTGGCACCCCGACCCCAGACATCCCATCTCCCCTGCGGAGGGACCGCCTCCCCTGGGCAGGTCCCCGAGGGCCAGCTCCCTGCACAGGCTCTGCCAGGCACTCAGCACATCCAGGACTAGAATCCCGGGTGTGCAAGGCCCGCCTCTCCACACAGTAACGAGCGTGCTGCTGGCTTCTCCCGAGTGTGGGTGATTCAAAGACATCGCCAGGGAGGCACCAGTCACTGGCCTGGGACACGCTCGCCCTGCCCTCGGGCTGGCCAGAGGCTACAGTCCCACCCAGCTCCAGCTGGGCCCCACACAGCTGCCCCTCCTTTCCCAGGGTGGCCCCGCCTGACCCCACTGTTCTGGGACCACTCCCCCCTCCTCACCTGGGGCCGGCCCCTCCTCGTGTCGGCCTCAGTTTCCTCATGTGTCAGGCCCTGTCCTTCTGCCCACTGACGGGGTCAAGGAGCGGCTTCTCAGAGGCGGGGGAGGGAGGGGGAGGCAGACGAGACTGCTGGCTGCTGTGTTTGGATGGTGGAGTGCCAGCCCGTGCAAGGGGTTTGAGGCCAGGAGACACGATGGGCCCTCTGCGCGCGTGATGTCTCCTGCGGTGCTGGCCGGGCTGCGGGCCCTTGGAGAAGGTGGTCCGGGTGGGCCTCCGCTGCAGGATCCCAGCCGCCCCAATGGGGCACTTCTCACTTGGGAGGCTTTGCTGGGAGGAGGGAAAGCAGTGGCTCATGCATTTGACTGGGGGCTTGCCTGGGCACGGGGGTCCCAGCCCTGGGACACTGGCTTCTAGGAGCTCACGGCCCATCGTCTCTAAATCCCCTGGCCCCGGGTGATAGGCACAGCCACACATCCTGCTCCCCAGGTCTCCTTACGGGGGCAGATGCTGGGCCGTACAGTGCCAGGCATCACCACCGGGGGAAGTGGCAGGTGGAGCTGGGCTGGAGGGAGCCCATGGGGGCTGGGGCCCGGGGAGCCTGGGGACTGGGGACGGGCCCGTGGATCAGTGCTGCTCCGTCCTGCAGGCTTCCCACGATCCCGTGAAAACCTTTGAGACCCTAAATGTTAAGTAGCGCCCAAACCACAAAAAGAACAGTAAGCAGTATCTTCTGAAGCTGAGCCTGTCCCTCTGGAGAACAAACGTGCGTGAACCCTGCGGCTTCCCTCTTGCTTAGCAGGAGGCGGGGCGGGGCTGAGGGTGGGGGGGACGGCAGACCTGCTGGTGTGGCCGTGGCAGAGGGTGGGGATCCGTCAGGACCCCACAGTGCGGTGGGGCCGCCGGCAGCAGGTGGGAAGGAGCGGCGCTATTTAGTGCTGAGTGTTCACTGCCCTCAGATTTACTAGGTGCCAGGCCTCCTGGCGGTGCTTCGAACGTCATGGTACATGACTCTTTGAATTATGGTTTTCTCGGGGTATATGCCCAGTAGTGGGATTGCTGGGTCATATGGTAGTTCTATTTGTAGTTTTTTAAGGAACCTCCATACTGTTCTCCATAGCGGCTGTATCAATTTACATCCCCACCAACAGTGCAAGAGGGTTCCCTTTTCTCCACGCCCTCTCCAGCATTTATTGTTTCTAGATTTTGTGATGATGGCCATTCTGACTGGTGTGAGGTGATACCTCATTGTAGTTTGGATTTGCATTTCTCTGATGATGAGTGATGTTGAGCATTCTTTCATGTGTTTGTTGGCAGTCTGTGTATCTTCTTTGGAGAAATGTCTATTTAGGTCTTCTGCCCATTTTTGGATTGGGTTGTTTGTTTTTTTGTTATTGAGCTGCATGAGCTGCTTATAAATTTTGGAGATTAATCCTTTGTCAGTTGCTTGCAGCTCTATTTACAATAGCCCAGAGATGGAAACAACCTAAGTGCCCATCATCGGATGAATGGATAAAGAAGATGTGGCACATATATACAATGGAATATTACTCAGCCATAAAAAGAAACCAAATTGAGTTACTTTTAGTGAGTTGGATGGACCTAGAGTCTGTCATACAGAGTGAAGTAAGTCAGAAAGAGAAAAACAAATACCGTATGCCAACACATATATATGGATTAAAAAAAAAAAAGTCATGAAGAACCTAGGGGTAAGACAGGAATAAAGACACAGACCTACTAGAGAACGGACTTGAGGATATGGGCGGGGGGAAGGGTAAGCTGTGACAAAGTGAGAGAGCGGCATAGACATATATACACTACCAAACGTAAGGTAGATAGCTAGTGGGAGGCAGCCGCATAGCACAGGGAGATCAGCTCGGTGCTTTGTGACCACCTAGAGGGGTGGGATAGGGAGGGTGGGAGGGAGGGAGACGCAAGAGGGAAGAGATATGGGGACATATGTATATGTATAACTGATTCACTTTGTTATAAAGCAGAAACTAACACACCATTGTAAAGCAATTATACTCCAATAAAGATGTAAAAAAACAAAAAACGGTGCTTCCACTGCAGGAGGCCAGGGTTCCGTCCTCGGTCGGGGACTAAGGTCCTGCGTGCCGTGCCCAGCGGCCTTAGATTTATTAGGTGCCAATTGTGTGCACTAGAAGCTGGGCTCCCGCAAACAAGAGGTGGGAACCAGGACACCAGCCGGGCTGCCTCAGGCAAAGGAGGTTCGGGGGCAATGCCCCGTGACCACCCCCGGGGGAGAAACTGAGCCAGCCCTGTTAAGTGTCACCTAAGAGGGACAGGTGGGGCCCAGGTGGCAGATTTCCAGGGAGACAGGGAGTGTCCCATCACCGGAGGGTCCAGGCAGAGGCAGCTGGGGCCTTAGGGGATGTTGGGCGAGATCCCATGGAGAGCGCTGTCCTGGGAGCCTTGGGTCGCCTGGTCCCAGGGAGTGGGGTTCAGAGGTCAGCACTGTCACCAAGTGGGCTTGCCCTCCCTCTCCCCCATCCTCATCTTCCCCCTCCAGCTGCACCCCCCCCCCCCA